AAGACAGAATCAGGAGGACTGAGGTTCAAAGCCAGCCAGAGCAAATAGTCTTCGAGCGCCAATCTCGAAAATACCTAACACAAAAAAAAGGCTTGGTGGAGTGGCTCAAGTGGTAGAACACAGGTGGGAGGCCCTGAGTTCAAAACACCAGTACTGGGGGGAAAAAAAAAATACCTGCCTTTGGTCGACTCTAAACCGTTATCAATTCATACTGTACTAAGAAGAATAATAAGGAATAGCCGTCTAACACAGACGTTGTCCAACATAAGCCAGGTGGACCAGCAGTCAAAGACCTGGATGTACCACCATGGAACATCACTAAATTAATCTATTTCTCTGGAAAAGCAGATCAAGTAAAACATACCCACTTCACAGGGTTGTTGCAAAGAATGAATGATACATTTGTAAAAACAGATCCCATGCTGTGTGTTCCAAGTAGATTTCAGCTATCATCATCACCACCAATGCTTATACTTGCCTGCAGAAAACCCTCCCGACCCTGACCCTGACCCTGAATTGTCTTGGAAGGGTTATCTAGATTTTTAACACAGATCTCATTTCACTTCTGACTGTGTACTGTAATTTCCAATAGCTACCTTCCCCAACACCTCCACTCCCCACAAGCCCATAAGCTAGGAGAGCAGTTTTTGTCTGTCACCCTGTCCCTGGGGGCCTTCTAGTGCTCTGTTCCCAGAAGGTGTTGCATGACCACTTCCCTGTAATCTTTGCCTCCGTTAGCCAAGAGCTGATGACCTAGAGACTGTCCTGGTGCAGGCAGGTAATAACCACTATAAAAAGATTTGGAGCATTACCACATCCTGCAGGTTTATCTCTGTTATCTCATGTAATCACAATAACGCTAAGAAGCACTGTCACACCCATTCTCCAGCTAAGGAAAACTGAGGTTAGAGGATAAGTTACTTCTCCTTAGGCACAACAGCTCACATAAATCCAAAATCTCATCTCAAACTTCCCCCTTGACTTAAATATCCCGCTGCTGGCTTGCTAGTCTGTTTTCTGTTGCTGTGACTGCACATCTGACACTAGGTAATTTATAAGGAAAAGAATCTTAAAAGCTCTGGAGGCTGGGAAGCCAAAGAGCATGGCATGGGCACTATTTGGCATCTGGTGAGGGCTTTCTTACTGCACCAAGTGCACCAGAGATTCTATCACCGAGCTACTTCCTTGGTAACGCATCAATCTAAGAATGGACCCAACCACCACCCCAAACCCCACCCTATTCTAAACACCATTAATATAGGAATTTCCAACACAGGAAATTCGGGGGACACGGACTTGCTGTCTCCATTTAATTTACAATAGACATCTTGAATATCGGACTTGCTGTCTCCATTTAATTTACAATCGACATCTTGAATATAACAGAGCAAAACAAAACTATGGGCTTTGCTAGCCAAATGTCCACCTCCCTCTCAGCCCCCTACTTCAACTCAGTAAATGCCATCAGCTAGCTGCTCAGGTGCTTAGTCCAAAATCTAAGTCTCTCTCCTTCCAACAGCCCACTTCTAATCCACACTCTACCTCTAAAATCTAGTTCCAGCTCTGTATGCAGAAGCCAATGACATCTCACTGTACCCACTCTTACTGCCAAAGCCTAAACTGAGGTACTGAGCTCTCTCCTTCCTAGACTACAGTAACACCAGGTCACCAGGATTCAAGCTCCATCAGGAAAGGATTTTTGTTCACTTTTGAAGCCTAAAACACTGCTTGCACATACATGGAAGTAGTTAAGGAATATTCATTGTAGCAGGTGTGGTAGTGAATGCAAGTTCAAGGCCAGTGTGGGCTTCACAGTACATGAGTTTGCCGCCAGCCAGCATAGGAAAACCTTTAAAAAAAAAATCCACTGAGTGAACAGTTCGGACTACTCTCCCTACCGCTCCTCTATCCCTGATTCAGTCCAGTTTTCTTTTTTTTTTTTTTTTCTTTTGGTACTATGGCTTGAACTCTGGACCTACACCTTGAGCCACTCCAACAGCCCTTTTTTGGTGACAGATTTTTTTCAAGATAGTCTCATGAACTATTTGCCTAGGCTGGCTTCGAACCACAATTCTCCTGATTGCTACCTACTGAGGAGCTAGGATTATAAGTGAAAGCCACTAAGCACCCAGCTACAGTCCAGTCTTTATAGCACCCAAAGAGATCTTCCAAGTCTAAATCAAACCACAGCTCAGCCCTGCTCAAATCCTTTCACAGCCTCACACTGCAACCAGAATAAAACCCAAACTCCAAGGGAGGTCTGTTAGCTGCTAGCAGGAACTTTTAGATACTTGGGGGGAGGGGGAGGGGACGAGGCACAGCCTCTTAGAACTACTGCCATCCCTTCTGTTGTTTGTAGAAAATAAAGCACTCCAGAGAAAATTGCAAGGAACCAGACTAAGCCAGCTGAAATCACCTATCTAATCTTCTAGGTAATCTAGAGTAAATTTTGCTCATTACATTCCCACTATAGTGCTAAATTTCCTAATCTGGAGACCGTCCTGTTAGCCATCTTTGAACATGCAATGTATAAAGAGGCCTGATCTTAAACAGAGCATGCTCAGGAAGGTGGTCGCCTGCCATGAGATAAGTCTTTCCAATATGAATATGCATAAGCCATCTTAAAGAAATTCCCTTGTCCTCTGGGGGTTTTTTTTGAGGGGGGGTGGCTTTGAGAGTTCTCCCCAGTGCTTTTCTTACTTGCTACAAGAAATAAACCTCTCTTCACTTTTTTTTTGTGGTATGGGATTTGAACTCAGGGTCTCCTGCTCTCTAGGCAGGGCTCTACCACTTGAGCCACTCTACCAGCCTGGGTGTGCTTAGTGGCTTTGCACTCACCAGGGATCAGACCCATTGTGTTTGACTACAGGCTAAAAATCTACAGCCACATTTGGCCAGACCCAACTCTGATCCTATTTATGGCACCCTAGTCCCTGTAGACTACCTCCTATTCCTCCAACACCCTGGAAGACTCCTTACCCAGAACTTTCTGTGGGGGCCTCCCTCTTTTCATTGATCATCTTAATTCCAGTGGCACCTTTTTAGACAAGCTCCTCCCTCAGTCCCCTCAAGGCTGCTGTATGCAAGGCCTCCCAAGGCCTTGTTCCAGGACCAGTGAATTTATGGTTTCATTGTTTACATGCTTATGGAACTCCCACCCCCCACACACAAGCTCTGAGATAAGACATAGATAAGTTTTTTGGCTTCCTGCTACCTCCTGACACATAGGTGGATACACAACTGGCCAGCTTAGCTTCTGATGCTGCTGTGAGGTTTTCCCAAGTTCTTTTTGCCCGGTGATGGGGATTTGAACCAAGCCTGGTGCCTGCTAGGCAAGCCAGTAAGCTACATACAACCCCAGCCCTTCACTTAAAACTCCTTAACAGCCCCATAGAAAATCATGGTGGCACAGGCAGCTCACTGCACAGAAACCTACCACAGTGAGGCTTGGAGCAGTACTGAGAAAGCAGAAGTTACTGTCCTGTGATGAACAGCCAGGATTTGGTTCTTTCCAAGTCCCAAGAGGGGGATTTTAGAAACGAGTCATTATATCTTGGCAAAATATCAATCATACCAATAACTCTGTTAGAAAACCAATTTGAGTACTGGCAGTAGTCATCAGAGCCAGAAATTAGGCAATCAGTGTCACTAAAAGAACCTCAAGGAGCTTTCAAATGACCCAGAAGAACAGACGCTCCCAAATATTGTAATTACTATATAATGAAAAGTGTTAAGTCCAATTAGAAAGAAATCTCAGAACAACAAAAAAAAGTAAAGAATTTGCAGAGAACTGGGGGTGCAGTTCAGTAGCAGAGTGCTTGCCTAGTATACACATGCAGGAAGCCCTGGGGTCAACCCCCCCAGCAACCTTTTGTGGTCCATCTTGGTCTCAAGCAACATGGGAAGGAGTAAGCATTCCTATCCTCTCTATTTCCTTGCCTGACACAGGGAAGAAGTCACTTTACCTCAAAGCTTCAATTCCTCATCTCTGAAAATGCTAGCTTGAATGCATGCCAAGCAGAGAATTAGACCTGAGAAACCCAGATAACTCCGCATGGCCACCCCAAAGGGGACAGACTATCTGCCTCTGTAATCGGTCTGTACTGAAACTCACAGCCGAGACTGTCCCTTCGCTGAATGTAACAAGAACACCATGCACCTGAATGCTCTCTCCTCCGCGGTCAGGTTCACTTTTGAAAACACACTATTAAAATGCTACAGAAATACTAATAACCAACAGGGATGGGGGAGGGCGTTCTTCATCCACAAAGCTTGAACCTACTTCGTTTTTTCTAACCATGCAAGAAGGAGTGTAATGAACACGAAAGTTCTAAAATCTACCAATTCTGCTCTGGTGCCCTACTAACCGGTAGGAGACGCCTACCCCAAGTGGACACACATGGTTTAGATATCGCAAGTCAATGCGAGGTTACAAAACAGGTTCCGGCACGCTAAACTGCAAAGAGGGCTGTGAAGGCTAGCGCAATGCCCAGACAGTCGAGCTAGTTACTGCCCAGTTAGTGACCTGGGTCGGTAAACTCAGAAAGCAGGGCAGAGCCTTCCCAGCGTCCACTCCTGCGTCCCTGGAAATCGGACTTCGAGACGGTCTCAACCGCACAGCGCCCACCTTCTAGGCTTCGGAATGCCACATGCCACCTGCCCGGGCAGTCTGCCTCGAGTTTGGTCCAGGGTATAGCAAAGGAGACGTGGTCCAAACCTCCGTCCTTTCCTGGGTTCATCTGACTACGGCGATCGGCGACACTCACTCGTGCCTTGGGTGAAGGTGACATCCCCGGAGCTGTCGGGATTCCCAGCTCGCGCCCGACACGCCTGGCCACGAACGGGAAGACCTCGGTGTGGCCTCTCCGGCTCCCCCACGTCCCTTCTCACCCGCCCGCCCGCGGCCCCGAGTGTCCCGACTGCTGCGCACCGAGCTGCAGCCCGGACCTCCTGCCCTGTCCACCGATCTGACAACCCGCGCGGCGCCCGGCCTCGCTCACCTGGCCCGCACAGCACTGGGCAGACATCGCGGCGGCCGACGACCTCCGGGCGCGCCCCGCTCCCCGCGCCACTCGGGGCCCCTCTGGCTCCAGCGAGCGCCCTGCTCCTCTCACCCAGCGCCCACGCCGAGCCGTCCCAGCTGAGAGCGGGGCACCGTGGCCTGGGTAAAAACAACCGCCGCCAAGCCCCGCCCCAGCCCGCTGGCCCCGCCCCGCGCGGCTGGCCCCGCCCCTTCCCGGGCGGCCGAGCAGGCTTGCTCCCCGCCCGCACTTCCGCTGGCGTCAGACTGCACCGCCGCTGTGGTCACTTCCCAGTGAGGCGCGGGGCTCCGATGTCCACTCCTCCGTCCAAGGCTCCCGGGCTTGTCCCCTCGCCAAGGCCGCGCTCGGTTCCTAGCCGGAGATCTGGAGCTTTGAGTGTCCTGCACCGATTCGGCCCAGTGGGGATCGCCGGGTTCTGGGCTGCGCTCTGCTCGCTCCAAATGAAATAGCCCCGAGATCCCTGTTCTTGAAATCCCGTTGCCTCCCCCAGCGTCTGCCAAGAAAACTTTTCACTTTGGAAGCTCTCTCCAATCTGTCCCAACTTCCTCACATCCCAAGGCTGCTCTGCCCGAGGTTCCCACAGCACTTTGCGGGATCCGGTATGCGCTTTCCTAGGTGCTGCATTTTCCGGCCTCTCCTCCCCTGCCAGCCTGAGAGCCTAGGGACTCAGTTTGAGTCCTTGCTACCTTGCTAAAGAGGATCCCCAGTAATTCCTTGTTCTGAGCAGAAAGCAGAAAAACACCCTCCTAATTTTTCTCTCTACCCAGAGCTCCTCAGAGCCACTTCAACAAGAGTAAAGGTATTTCTGTTAGGGTGACTTTTGTGCCAGACCCTTTGCTCTTTCAAATAAACAGTGCAATTGAATGTAGCAGTTGAAGCCCAGAGGGTTAAATAACGCCCAAAGCCTCACAAAGTGACGAGCAAAACTGAAGCTGGAACACACGCGTCAGATCCTGTGGCACACACAAGATTTGACCTACACTGACAGAGCCTTTGGCACAGGAGTATCTTTTTGGGCAGTTTAGGAGTTGGAGACTAAGGAAAGTTATATGGTCTTCAGTCCTTGCGTTATAAAAAATGCAGGCTCTTCCATCATCTTAGATCCAGGCATTTGGAGGGAGAGATAATGGAACAGGCCCTACTCAGAGCCAGGAAAAATGATGAGGAGAGTTGGTTCTAATACAAACAGGAAAATGAGTAACCAAATCAGACCAGCACAGCAACCTGCTGGATGGTAGGTAGCCTGGGACTCATCAGAAACCAGGACCTCAATGGGGCTTTGCAGTAGGCTTTGCTGTTTGCTGCAGGGAGGGCCATTCATTCAGATCTGGATCTGGAGATCTGGGATCTGGAGAAACCAGTTGGGCATCTAGCGTTTCAGTCCTATGAAGAGCCTAGCAGCTGGGGAGGTGGTGGGTGGAGGAAAAAATCTACCAATGTTTCCTCTTTCAGGGAAAACGGGGCTCAGGAAGCTGGCAAACCCTCACCAGAGACCATTAGGTAGGGTCAGAGCTAAGCCCCAGTCTTCCTACCCCCGGAGTCCTGTGTTCTTTTCCAAAGCCATGCCAGTGGGACGATTCTGTGAGTATATATGAATACCAGCCTCCTGGAGAAAGACCATAAGTCTTATCCTGGGGATAGGGCTGGGGTTGTAACTCAAAGTATTTTTTCCTAGAATGCTTAAGGCCCTGGGTTCAATCCCCAGCTCAGCAAAAAATAAAATAACTTGTGGACTTTTAGAATGCACCCCAAGGTACCAGAAAAGGATAATGAAAGTCTGACCTTCCAGAGTCAGGTAGTTGCAAATTCTAACCACCAAGAACTGGCTGGGTAACATGACCTGTTTGCTCTTCTGCAAAACCAGACTAATAGAACATTTTCTAAGAATTAGATAAATTCACCTCTACAGACATGCAGTACAGGCCTGGCCTCCTTGAAGTGCTGACTAAAGGGTAGCTCCAAAATGTTAAAACGATTTCAAAAAAATTATCTATGACTTTCTTATCTGGTCCCAGTCACTTCAAGAGCTGTGGGCTATGGTGCAAACATGACTGAGTCTAAAGACATAAATAAGCATCCTGCAAATGGCACAGAAATGGCATTTAAAAAAACTGATTATAAACATATTGGAGAGAAAAAGAGGGAGGGAAGGAAGGAAGAGAAGGAGGGAGGAAAGGATGATGACAGAGATACGAACCTCTTAAGGGGCTGGACCTGAGTTTTTGAGGAATACTCACTTTGCCAAGAAACACAACAAAAAGAGCCTGAAGGGCTGTAGGTAAAATTCAGCAGTAGAGCAGCTGTCTAGAATACTGGAGGCCTTGGGTTTGATCCCTAGCACTAGGAAAGAGGAGAAAGAGAGAAGAAAAAATAAAAAAGAAAAATAGAGGCTGAAGATGCAGGCTAGCAAAGCTATCCATACATTTGCTGAAGCTATCAGGCCTTCCTGAAGCTCAAAAACAAGACCCCAAAGCATCGGCTGCAAGTTCAATTGACTTGTCTATATTGCTCACCAAGCCCAGGAAGCATGTTCATGCCCACAGGGCCAAGGCTAGCTCAGACAACCAAGACCCAAAGCCAAGCAAAGGCAAGGCTGAAGCAGCTCCAGTTCTGGCTCCACTTCAAAGTCCCCAGGGTGTCCAGACACCCACAGTCTCCAGAGTAGAGACCTCTGTACAGAAGGACTGGGATTGTAACAGCTACTTAGAAAGTGCTTTTGCTAAAAAGCACTAACTCCTTATGTAGGCCCACAAATTAATTAAAAGCAGGAGAAAAGTTTGGCATCCCTGCCTTCATTTTCCATCTGCCTCCTTTACTGAGTCTCTCTCCCCTGCAATTACCTTGGGTTCCAAAACAGACAGAACTGATCAACAGCATCATTATGGCAAGGGAACAAACTACCCCCAAGGAAAGGATCAGCAGAGCCTCACAGGCCAGACCACCCACAAATGAGGACAATTACCTATGAAGAGGAGGCTGCACCTTGGAACAGAGGTAATTATCTCATTAGAACCAGATTGCTCCCCTGAAGTGATGACAGCAATGACAACTTCTCAGGAACCCCTTGCAGAACCAGAACTGAGATAATGTTCAACCAGGCCCTACTTTGCCTGGGCTACCAGTGCTCAGCTCCCTCCTCATCTCTCTCTCTTTTTTTTTTTTTTTTTTTTTTGGTGGTACTGGGGCTTGAACTCAGGACCTACACTTTAAGCCACTCAACCAGCCATTTTTTTTTTATTCATATGTGCATACAAGGCTTGGGTCATTTCTCCCCCCTGCCCCCACCCCCTCCCTTACCACCCACTCCGCCCCCTCCCTCTCCCCGCCACCCCCTCAATACCCAGCAGAAACTATTTTGCCCTTATTTCTAATTTTTCAACCAGCCATTTTTTTTGTGATGGTTTTTTTTGAGATAGAGTCTCAGGTCTCATGAACTATTTGCCCGGGCTGGTTTCAACCTGTGATTCTCCTGATCTCTGCCTCCTGAGTAGCTAAAATTATAGGCATGAGACACAGGCACCTGGTTCCCCATCTCTTTATTTGGTGTATTGGGGCAAATGGCCAGACCTGACCATGTGGAACCCCTAGAGTTAGATGTCTAGCCTAGAACTGCAATTACAAAGTGACTTCTGGGCTGTCATCTACCTGTGGCTAATGTCCTCCTCGGTACAAATAGGTACAGATAAACCTGAGGCAGGATCTGTCAGTCAAAATAAGAGAAAATATTCTATTCAGACTCTTACCCCACTCCACATTCAAAGATCTCAAAGCCATGTGTTCAGGTTTCCCCACCTTCCTGGCTCTGAGGACTTTGCAGTTACTATGTTAGGTCTGGGTAGAAGCACCCTTTATATCTGGGACTGGTTAACAAAGTAAAGTTAATGTTAGCAGAGGAAACACAAAACAGTGGCACCTTAATCTTTATTTTTAAGTACTCTGCAGACGTTTTCAAATGAGACATGATGTTCCTAACATGAAGGTGGTCGTACAGTCAAGGTTTTTGATGTGGATTTTTCAGGAACAAGCAGTAACACATCTATTTTAGTAAGACTGTAGCTTTTGGCAGACCATGTGAAATATTTTCTCCGCAAAAATTTTCTTAAATCAACTGAATTAGCTTCTTTTATACAATATAATTATATATGCATATATAACTTTATAAATAGCTGGCTTATAATTTGGTGTTTATTTTCCCCTCTTGAATTTGAAGATTCTTGGTGGAGGTCAATGTTGAATTTTAAAACACCACACATAGAACTGAAAGTAGTGGTATCATTAAAGAAGAACAGTATAATCTTGGAAAACCCCTTTATTTCTACCTTTAGTAAATTTAGGAAACTTCATCATGAATTTTATTTTCTATCCAAGAACTGCTTAAAAGTCAGTAACATTGATTATTCCCTAAAACATTTAACAGTGCTAGGAAAAACCTTGCAAAGTATGCGATTGGTTTTGTTATTATTGTTTTGTCACTGGGAAGAGGATTCTCTGACAGGAGAAAGGAAATTTCTACTCAATTTCCCGCTCACCCACTGGAACCAAGATCTTTGAAATCCATAACAAAAAGCATTTTTAAGAGGTTTCACAAAAGGAAAATTCACAAGCTGTATGACCAGCAAACATTTATTTAGCCAAGACAAAGTAGAGAGAAATAGAAAAGGGAAAGAGAGCCGGGCACCAGTGCCTCACACCTGTAATCCTAGCTATTGGGAGACTGAGATCAGGAAGATTGTGGTTTGAGGCCAGCCCAAGCAAATAGTTCATAAGACCCCATCTTCAAAATAAACAGAGCAGATGGACTGGAGGTATGGCTCAAGCAGTAGAGTGCCTGCTTTCAAAAACAAAGCCCTAAGTTCAAAACCCAACAGTCACACAAGAAAGAGAGAGAGACAGAGAGACAGAAAGAAAGAAAACCCTCTGATGCACAAGCAGTGGGAACGAAGAGGCTCAAATGGTGGTCCTTGTTTCATGTATATATTCATACCCTCTGAGCTGGGAGAGTCTAGCCTGAATCTCCACCTAGACATGTGGTCACCTAGGAACCAT